AAGACAAGATGATAGTTTATTCAATTTTAATGAAATTTGCAGATTGTTTTGGTAAAGTTTAATAAAATCCTTGCTATCTAAAATATAACAGGACACCGGAGTATATTCTCCAGCATCTCACACTTCTGATAATCAGCTGTCTGCTTGACGTTTATTCAGCTGTGTAAAAACTATAACTTTAATCTCAGCCAAACCGATTTACTCAGGAACAAATAAAATACAAAAAAAAAAAAAAAGCCAAACAACAACATTTTTAATTTATCTAAGTGACTCATATATATTTAACCTGAGTCGCGAAAGACGGCGGTGGGTTTGAAAACAATTTGCCGGGAGTCCGGTGTTCTCACGGCGCTAGTGACCTAGCCCCCGGCTAGCTATCGAGCTAGTGGGTAACAGACGTCTCCGAAAACGTCGGAGCGCTTTTGAAAATATGTGGTGTCCTGATAAACTGAGCAGATATTTGAGGTTTACACAGATACATTCTCGCCTGAAAATATGTTAAACGTTTATTTTGTGACCCAGAAAGAATAATAAGAGTAATATTAAAACTAACTAGCTACCGCCATTGTTGGAAACTAAGCTGGGCCGCGCTATGAATTCTGGGACACAGCTGCTTCTTCTTCTTCGGGGTTTAACGGCAGCTGGCATCCTTGTACATGCAGTGCTGCCATCTTCTGTTTCAGTCCGTTATTACACTCTTAAATCCTGCTACTTATTCCTGCGTCTTTTGCGATCTTACAAAGCTTCAAACGACACGTCGACTATTAAGTCAGTCGTCGACGATTTTGATAGTCGACGTAATCGTGACTAGTCGACAAATCGTGGCAGCCCTACTTGCCACTTTGCATTCCACCAATCGCCATCATGACCTCCTGGATAGAGAGGTCCCTTTCGAGTTCAGTAACCAGTTTCGGGTCAACTGTGGTTATACTGAGGTAACTAAGGAAACTGTCCATAGCAGACTCATCTTGGCGTGATTCTGCGGTATATAAATAAGAGTAAAATTGATGGAAGCAGGAGTTGATTTCTGCGTGGTCTGTATGCTTTAGGCCCTGTTCATCAGCTATTTCAGAGATGAACTGTTTGGATGACTTTTGACGTATTTGATGTGCTAAGACACTGCCAATTCCCTCCTCATAGAAAGTACGTCTAGACTTTAGGATAGGTTGCTCCACTTGCTGTATTGAAATAAGATCAAATTTCATTTTGAGGGTCTGACGTTCTTTAAGGGTGCTTTCCGATGGTGAGTGACTGTAGTTTATATCTAACCACAAAATATCATATAATAGCTGTTTCAAGTGCTCAGTGTCAGCTTTTTTTCTTGCTACTGAAAATGAGATAATTTGACCCCGAAGATAGGCTTTCAGTGACTCCCATATGACTGAAATAGACATCCCAGGGGTCTGGTTTTGTTCAAGAAAGTCTCTAATCTCAGATTTTCTAAAATTCATGAATGCTTCATTAGAGAGTAAAAGAGGATTAAAACTCCAGGGGCAGTATATGCGATTGGCACCAGGGATGTGCATTCTCATCACTAGGGGAGCATGGTCTGAAATAACAATAGATTGATAATTGCAAGTTTCAACCAGTGGAAGAGCACGTTTATCAATAAAAGAAAAAAATCTATCCGAGAGAATGTTTTGTGGACAGGAGAGTAGTAGCAGTATGCCCTTGATGAAAGGTTATGAAAACGCCAAAAGGCAACAACGCCGTGGGATTGGAAAAAGCATGTAATAATTTCTGTGGGTTTTGATTTAGGAGTATCCTTATTAGACCATCGGTCTAGGCTAGAAAGCACAGCTAAGATGAGATTGTATGTTATCATATCTGCAATTTCTGAGAGTAAATTGACAAAGAAGTTTTCATCATCCCAGTTTGGAGCATAAATGCTGGCTAAAATTAGTCTGAGTCCATAAAGTTGGCCAGCAACAATAATATAACGGCCCACGGGATCAAATAAAATGCTTGATACAGCAAAAGGGATGCTTTTACCAATAAGGATATCCAATCCTCTTCAGAGTTAAAGTTGGAATGGAATGTGTGGCCAACCCAACCATTCTTCACTCTATGTTGGTCTGCTCTCATGTTCCTTAAGTACATCTACCCTGTTGAACTTCATCCATCCATTCACGTCCGCTTAATGGATGAACTTATTATGGGAAATAAATATTTAAATAAAAACAAGCTGCTGATTATTTCACATTTTACTTGTGAGCAACGGCACATTTAAATCTTACAAATATAGTTATTTGGCTTATATCGTGATAGATATCGTTATCGCCTGGAATGAAAAAAAATATCGTGATATGAAAAAATCTTATATCGCCCAGCTCTACTGTGCACCAAACCCTGTGTCTTGCGAAGCCTCATCATCTGCGACTGGCTAGAAACAATTCAGTCAGGAGGGGAACTTCACCCGGCAGTTTCACTTGGTAAGATGCCGTTTTTCACGTACACCATTGCCTTCTCTGGATCCAGAAACTCCTTACTCTCGCCCCTAAAAGATATACACAGTCTCTCTGGAAACATTATTCCGTAGCGGACATCTTGACGCCCTCGAAGCAGATTCCTCACGTCCTTAAAAGCGGAGCAAGCTTTGGCAATGCTCGCGGTGTAATCAGGAAAGATGGCCACAGGGTTCCCCTTGTGTTGCACCGCTCCCGGGCCTGCCGTAGCACATTGACGCAGTCTTGGTAGTAATGGAGTTTGGCGATGATAACTCGAGGTTTCCCGTTAGATCTTCTGGGAGCAAGGTCTCTATGTGAGCGGTCCACCAGGATTTCTTCATCCAGTTACAGAACATCTTTCAATAGAGTAGAAACTGAGCTGGTCGAGCTGGAACCAGCATCCTCCGCAACACCCACAATATGAATATTGCACCTCCGCATTCTTGACTCCATATCTCCATTCTTTTCTTTTAAGCAAGCCAGCTCAGTCTGTAATCCTGCAGCCGTCTCTTGGAGGCTGACAACCTTCTCCGACCATAATGATAAACCCTCTTTCAGGTCGCTAGTAGCGGACTTGACGTTGTTAATTTCTGAGCGGACTGCTGCTGTGTTGTTAGCAATCTCCGTCTTAACTTCTCTTAATTTGTACTTGAGGTAGTCGAAATCCTCTGCAAGCGGACTTGTCAGTACTTACCTGATAATCGTAGAGATATCATCTTTAAGAGAGGACAGGATGTCCGATTTCAGACCTTCATACTCCATTGCGTTTCCTGACTGCGAGCTAGGCGACAAGCTAGGCGACGAGCTCCCACTTGCTTAAGTATAAGTATGCTGGCCCCTCGGGTTTAGATGCCCTTCCGGTTGTAACCACTGGTCCGTTTTTCCCCGTCGGTCACAGGTGTTAGGGGGAGTGATAGTTCGTTTAAATTATCCTTTAAAAGGGGCTTGGAATTGTTAAAATATAAGCTAGACAGGCGTGAGCCCAGTTCAACATGCCTAACTCCATTGTCGGCTCAGTAGTGCCCCCGAAGTCGGAGTACTTCAACACCTCCTGAATGAAGTCTTCGGCTGCTCTCCTCGGTGTCTGTTCACAGTTTATTGTGATCACGTTGAGAGAAGGTTGAGAGGGTGTTTGGAAAAAAACACCTACTAATCATTAGCTCGGCATGCTGGGAGAAGTTGATGGTTTGCTCGCTTGTTCAATTATTTCCATCTTACTTTGACTGCAGATGTAACCAGACATATTCCAGCAGGATTTGTAAAAAGCGTTTTAACAGACACACAAAGCTGGAAAAGTCTTCATAGTCTTTTTTCTTTAGGCCACGAGCAGTTGTCTAAGCATTTCACTGCATATCGTACTGTGTATGACTGTGTATGTGACAAATAAAATTTGAATTTGATTTGAATTTGGTGAACCTCTCGGCTTGTGATTGGGAGCGTATGCTTCCGTCTACGATGACATTTGTATGTGCTGCTGAACCCTTTAAGGTTTAAGATTTAGGGCAGTGCTGCTGTCTGTTCACCTTGTTGACTCTTGAAACCGACGCCTTTGCTCTCGAACTGCATTTGTCTTTTGGGAGACATTGATTGTCCTCGAAGCTTGTTCTTTAGTGTAAGATATACATGGGGATGAAGCTGAATAATATTCAACCAAAACACAGGCTCGGTGTGGTTCCAATTATGTTAATCTATCATTTTGCTCTGGCTGCTATGCCATGGTGGACATTGATCCAGTTCCGTAGTAACCTGTAATAACAGACTGAGACACTTATAATATCATTTTCATCACTGCTCAATAACACTTTCCCTCTCTTATTCTTCTATCCATATTTTAACACATCTTTTTCCATCACTTCTTACAGACACACACAAACACACTTCTCTTTACTGCATTCCTCAGTTTCTACACACTTCATACTCCATGTTTTCTGTTCCATATTTCTGAAAGAGGAAAAAAAAAATCATGCAATCAAAACCTGGATCCCGGCCGTACTGCTGAGCTCAGTGCTATAGTAAAGTGAGAAAGTGATATTTCTATAACTAATGTGATATGATTAAATATGTGATTAATACATGAGAAGAAAAATCTGCCTCCACAACACCTACAGGCCAGTAGACACTCTTTCACTGATGAGGATGTACACATCCTGGACAGGGAGGAACGCAAGTTTGAGCGTGGCGTCAAGGAGGCCATCTACATGAGAAGGGAAAGACCATCTCTGAATCGCGGAGGGGGACTAAGGGGACATCTTTTGCCATCTTACAATGCTGTGATTGCAGCCATTCCCCAACTCTCTGTGAATGGTACTCATGGCCATTGATCAGTGGTCTTTGATCCGTGGTCATGAGAATTTACATAATTATGATGAAGGAACTGACCTACCAGCCCATTGTTCCTTCAGTGGTTCTAGTTACTGTTTATAAGATTGGGGAAACCTGCAGTCAGCTGAGACTGAAGAAGTCACTTGGATGAGTGACGAAACGTTTCTCCCACTGAAAACACTACGTCCAGATGAACAGAATCAACTTTTTGAGATTTACTTACCTGAATGATTGAGCATGCATCGAGAAGAATTTAGAATGGATTACCTTGCTGAATCCTTTTAGACAAGGGACTTAGGACTTACTATCTAATTGTGTCCCACATAGATGATGTTCTCCAGTGCCCACTGTAATGTGGAGAAGCTCACTTTACGATTTTTTGATCAGTAACAAGACAGAACCAGACGTGGAAGCTGCGGGATGCTGGACGGGCTCAGCTGAACCTCTAGCTGTCATGGCAGGATGCTGGATGGGCTCGGCTGAACATCCAGCTGGCGTGGCAGGGCGAGCAGGTGCGAAAACCTCTGGCTGAGGCATGGCAGGTGACGGCATGGCAACCACAGACGGCAGGGCGGGCTCTCCAGAGCACTCAGCAGGAACTGATGGCGGAGCGGGAGCTGTGAAGTGCTGGGGTGGTTCGCCTGAACCCCCAGCAGACACTAGAAGAGTCTACACAAACTGCTCAATGACCCCCATGGAAGCAGCAACAGGCTCTTCGGGAGGTCCAGAGCAAAGTTAGTCCTCCAAATCAGCCTCTGGATAACCTGGCCTGGGTCTCAGTCCCACAGGGGCTTTGCTGAGCCTCATGGCTAGCATCTCCAGTGAAAACAGTCTTGAAGCCTGACTTCTTAGAAGCATGGGTCGTGGCATGATCAATACACAGAGATGCTAGATAATTGTGCAAAGGGATAAGATGTTCTGTGGAAGACTTGGGCAGTAACTTGTCAGTCTTAGTCCTTTCATGAACATGAACAGTCTCTTCATAACCGGGCCAATGAACTGGCAAATCTGTGTTGATTTTAGCTTCCTCCTTAGAAAAAACACGCGGCACACAGTCACCCACCTCATGCTGCTGTAAGCCGCGGTGATGACGTGGACACCGCCTCCTCCTGGAAGCCACGGTTGTGGAAGTTGGCTCTGTCATGGCTGAGGCGAATGTGGTGCTAGAAGCACTGAAAATATGTTAAAAGTTTATTTTGTGACCCAGAAAGATTAGTATGAGTAATTTTAAAACTGGAGTTTGGCTGGGCCGCGCTATGAATTATGGGATATGGTAGTAATTTGGACAGCCTTCGGCACGTCGCTGTGACGTAATCGGTCTACAAATGCGGCCTCAGGAGGATGCAGCCCATGAATTTGGACATGTCCAGAGTATAATCGCAGCCTTTGCGGTTAGAAAATTGCACTTGATCATGTCGCGATATTATCGCAAATGCGATATATCGTTCAGCCCTACTAGACGGCCAACACGTTAACGAGCTAACTGCGCTAACACACCAGTTCCCACCCATGTAATTGAGCATTGCATGGCACATCCAACATACTGTTTTACTTTAGTCCATGACTCGCTTACCTTCAGGGTCATACGTCACATGAAAACCAAAATAATTCCAAACGCCAGATCTGAATGAGGTTGGGGGAGGTGCCCTGCGCTCTTCCTTCTGTCTATGCTGTCTGTCTTGAGCGCTCAGTGGATCTGTGCTCGACAGTGCAGCCTAGGCGGAGTAGTCGAACGCAGATTCACTGAGCGCTCCACACAGACAGCATCGTCAGAAGGAAAGTTGATAAAATAAATTACAAATGTTGTATTGTTCGATACATATGCGTACCGAACCGAAAGCACTGTATGGAACGGTTCAATATCGATACGAATATCGTTGCACCCCTAATATATATACTTTTTGTGTCCCAGCTGAGTAACAGGAAGAGAAGAGTCTGGTGGTGCAGCAGAGGAACAATTTCAGCCATTTGGACTCAGCTCAGCCACTACAGAGGAAACAATGACTCCAACACAAATGGTGAGAAGAACATCACAGTTACACTGTTATTGAAGCTGTGTGTACAGCTGGTCGGTTTTTAAAAGCCTGTTATCTTTATCTTTTCCATCCTGGGCTCCTCCATACGTACAGAATCTACATTCACAACCAAAAACCACAGAAGTTGCAAGAAAATACAAAGATCTTATTTTCTCTACACACATTGAAACAACAATATCATCAGTTGAACTAAAAAAAATTTTCTGAAGTAAAAGAGATTCTTTGATGATCAATATTTCTTCAATAGTGTCATTTTGTACAACTCTCATTGTAGCACATCATTGTAATGTGATACTATCACCAGAAGGTGGTGGTAACACACCAACAATGTGTTTTTTTTTTACATGTCTGATTCCACCAATTTCAGTTTGTTCCATGATTGAATTTCACTCACTGCCTGTGTTTGTATCTCTGTCACTGCAGGACCAACATGGAGCAAGAAGTCAGCGCTCTCAGGAGGCCGACAAACCTCACAGAAGAAAGGGGGAGAAAACCTACAGCTGTGATGAGTGTGGGAAGGAGTTTACCCTGGCTGGACACTTAAAACGACACCAAATCATCCACAGTGGAGTTAAAGCGTACAGTTGTGACTTGTGTGGAAAGTCTTTTACCCTGGCTCAAACCTTAAAAACACACCAACTCACGCACAGTGGAGTTAAACCTTACAGCTGTGAGTTTTGTGGAAAGTCGTTTACCCTGGCTCAAACCTTAAAAACACACCAACTCACTCACAGTGGAGTTAAACCTTACAGCTGTGAGTTTTGTGGAAAGTCTTTTACCCTTGCTGGAAACTTAAAAACTCACCAACTCATCCACAGTGGATTTAAAGCGTACAACTGTGACTTGTGTGGAAAGTCTTTCACCAAGGCTGGAGACTTAAAAAGACATCAAACCATTCACACTGGAGTTAAACCTTACAGCTGTGGGTTGTGTGGAAAGTCTTTTACCCTGGCTAAAACCTTAAAAACACACCAACTCATCCACAATGGAGTTAAACCTTACAGCTGTGAGTTTTGTGGAAAGTCTTTTACCCTGGCTAAAACCTTAAAAACACACCAACTCATCCACAGTGGAGTTAAACCTTACAGCTGTGAGTTTTGTGGAAAGTCTTTTACCCGGGCTGATAGCCTAAAAACACACCAAGTCATCCACAGTGCAGTTAAAGCACACAGCTGTGAGTCATGTGGTAAGACTTTTGCTCAAAATAGCAGTTTACAGAGGCATCTAGTTACCCACTCTGGAATTAAGGCGTACAATTGTGACTTGTGTGGAAAGTCTTTTACCCTGGCTGGAGACTTAAAAAAACACCAACTCATCCACAGTGGAGTTAAACCTTACAGCTGTTACTTGTGTGGAAAGTCTTTTACCCTGGCTGGACACTTAAAAACTCACCAACTCATCCACAGTGGAGTTAAAGCGTACAGTTGTGACTTGTGTGGAAAGTCTTATACCCTGGCTCATAGCCTAAAAACACACCAAGTCATCCACAGTGGAGTTAAACCTTACAGCTGTGAGTTGTGTGGAAAGTCTTTTACCCAGGCTGGAGACTTAAAAAGACACCAAATCATCCACAGTGGATTTAAACCTTATAGCTGTGACTTGTGTGGAAAGTCTTTTACCCAGGCTGGAGACTTAAAAAGACACCAAATCATTCACAGTGGAGTTAAACCTTACAGCTGTGAGTTTTGTGGAAAGTCTTTTACCAAGGCTGGAAACTTAAAAAGACACCAAATCATTCACAGTGGAGTTAAACCTTACAGCTGTGAGTTGTGTGGAAAGTCTTTTACCCAGACTCAAAGCCTAAAAACACACCAACTCATCCACAGTGGAGTTAAACCTTACAGCTGCGAGTTATGTGGAAAGTCTTTTACCCAGGCTGGAGACTTAAAAAGACACCAAATCATCCACAGTGGAGTTAAACCTTACAGCTGTGACTTGTGTGGAAAGTCTTTCACCCAGGCAGGAGACTTAAAAAGACACCAAATCATTCACAGTGGAGTTAAAGCTTACAGCTGTGAGTTGTGTGGAAAGTCTTTTACCAAGGCTGGAGACTTAAAAAGACACCACACCATTCACAGTGGAGTTAAAACTTACAGCTGTGACTTGTGTGGAAAGTCTTTTACCCAGGCTCAAACCTTAAAAACACACAAACTCATCCACAGTGGAGTTAAACCTTACAGCTGTGAGTTTTGTGGAAAGTCTTTTACCCTGGCTGGAGGCCTAAAAAAACACCAACTAATCCACAGTGGATTTAAAGCACACAGTTTTGAGTTGTGTGGTAAGGCTTTTGCTCAAAATGGCGACTTACAGAGGCATCTAGTTACCCACTCTGGAATTAAGGCGTACAGCTGCGACTTTTGTGGAAAAAGTTTCAGTGACAAACAGTACCGAAATAATCACCTACGGATTCACACTGGAAATGATGTTTCCTGCTGTGATCAGTGTGGGAAACTGTTTGCAACCGATGCACAATTACGACGACACATGTTTAGCCACACTGAGGAGAGACCTTATAAATGTGACCTGTGTGAGAAGACTTTTAAAGCTCCACATCAGCTGAAAAAACACCAACAGATCCACACAAGAAAGTAACTCTACAAGTGCAGTTACTGTGAGGTATGTATTTAGTTTTTTATCTTGTAATTTTAACCTGATTGTTTGGAACAAGTCTGATCAGTAAACTTATGGAGTTATACTGAATGAACTGTTTTGAAAAATGAAGACTCATTTTCAATCAGTAAGCTGAGTGTTGTAATTAGAGCTGGGCGATAGAACGATAACGATATGTATCGCGATATAACTTTTACTCGATAGAGAAATTAAGCTATCGCGATAGACCTCGCCGCTCTCGTCCTCTTAAAAAAAAAAAAAAAGGTCAGCCAATCTAAATTAAGTAGCGCAGAGCCGAACCAATCACAGCCGCAGCGTCACGTCGCGTGACTTGTTACGTACAGCACAAGTGCCAAGCCGCACGTGGGTTTGTTTGGGAAGCAGCCAGCGGAGGAAATGAGTGTGCCGACTAGAAAAATCAACCGAGCGTGACCGAAGAGAAAACAGATGATGGTTCCAATGCCGGAGAGATTGTCGAACGGAAGAGCCATAGAAGTTCCGTAGTGTGAAGGTATTTCGGCTATTTCAAGTCTGACAAAAAACAGAGTAGCATGCACTGTAAATTGTGCCGAAAGCAAGTCTGGAAATACAATAAACTGGTGCATGCGTCACACTGTGCGCCACGTTATTGTTTCGGTGAAATGAATTTCTACAAGACTGTTTCTGTTAATTGTACTCTCTGCAGTGTTTAAATGCTTACATATATACACACAGTTACTGTCAGTCCACACATACGACTCGGTTCTGCTTCTATGCCCCAGCTTTGTTTACTTTTTCCCACCGAGGCTTCTAGACTTCTGATTGGCCAACATTTCTGCACGGTTAGGAATCTAGCTCCACCTGCTGCTTTGGCATGTTCATAGCAGCGTTTTCCTTCATTTCTGCCTTTATGTGTGGACGGGATTATTTTTTAAAACGGAAACGGAAAATCTCCGTTTTCAAAAATACCCGTGTACGTGTGGACGTAGCCTCAGTCTCTGACTGGAAGCGCTAATTCGTCATTCGGCTTTTGTCAGACTAAAGTAACTGTTAAAACTGTTTGAAAAGCTCAGCTATACAACAATGAGAGATTGAGAATTTCCTTTTAGTTCTCAGTTTATTTGATATTGACAAAAGTTAATTAGTTTTGTCTGTTCTTCTGTAAAACAAACTAAGATTTATTTTTAGAATTAATATTTTGTTTCTAAGTGGAATTGACAATTTAGTAGTCTGTTTCGTTTGTTCTGTTTTGAAACTTAAACGCTTTAGCGGCTGCCTTTTGTGTAGTTTGCAATATTTGCCTTTATTTATCTGAAAAAGTCTCATGTTCCTTAAGTACATCTACCCTGTTGAACTTATTATGGGAAATAAATATTTAAATAAAAACAAGCTGCTGATTATTTCACATTTTACTTGTGAGCAACAGCACATTTAAATCTTACAAATATAGTTATTTGGCTTATATAGTGATAGATATCGTTATCGCCTGAAATGAAAAAAACATATCGTGATATGAAAAAATCTCATATCGCCCAGCTCTAGTTGTAATGTAATATTAGATTATTCTGTTATTATATGTTACCTTATATATGTAATCAAAGTAGTTGAATTAGAATACTGCTGTAGATCACATTATACCCTTTAATATAGAGTGTGTGAGCTGTATGTAGTTTAGTTCTCATTATACTTTTGAGTTAACAGAACATATTCACATATTAGTTCATTAGATAAATGTGCATCACTCTGTATCCTTGATCTGCTGGGAATGTGTTACACTGTTTTCTTGACATGCTTAATTGTTGAATCATGAAGAGAAGGTTGTAAGCAGGAGACTCTGTGTCTAAAGACAGGGGAGATAGACAGACCACATTCCACACCCCCACCTTACAGAAAGCAGAGAAACAACTGCCGAGGTCATAACTTAGGCGCTGTAACAGAGAAAAAATGTGATGTTTTGGCTTTTACGACTAGCTGGGGGCCACTAGAGACTATAAAAAGCTGAGCAACCCGTCACCATTTTGAGACATGTGCCTGACCCTCTGGTAGCATCTCTCCCGTCTGGACGTTGTAATGCTCTGACTGTTGAATTGTATTGAAATAAATGATTGTTGATTGAGCATTTATACACCGAGTATTGTCCCTCCTTCAGCCCAAAGATTCAAAGAATTGGGAGAATTCAACAGTAAACATTAAAATATAATTGGACGTTGGCAGAGATGCTCTTTATTTCAGGCAACGTTCAGGATAAAATTGTTGAAGGATTTCCCCGACTTACAACGTCTTTGTTTAGAAGTGGAGCGACGCACATGGATCCATTTCTCAACCCTGTCGTCACTGTGGTGGTGGGAAAGAGTTTCTCTGTGATCTTTGTGGAAAAACTTCCAATCATCAACGGGACCTAAATCCACATCAACGTAGCCACACTGGAGACAAAGTGAACTACTGCAAAGAATGTGGGAGAGGCTTCCACACACCAAGTACATTAAAAATACATGAACTCTTCCACAGTGTGGTCAAAAAGCACATCTGTGACCAGTGTGGGTCATCCTTCACCACTGGAAATAAGTTCAATGAAAAAGCATAAGGGAATCCACACGGGAGAGACACCATACAAGTGCAGACACTGTGACAAAAGCTGGTCACAATCAGGTCATAGTAGAGCTGGGCGATAGAACGATAACAATATGTATCGCGATATAACTTTTACTCGATAGAGAAATTAAACTATCGCGATAGACCTCGCCGCTCTTGTCCTCTTAAAAAAAAAAAAAGAAAAAGGTCAGCCAATCCAAATTAAGTAGCGCAGAGCCGAACCAATCACAGCCGCAGCGTCACGTCGCATGACTTTTTACGTACAGCACAAGTGCCAAGCCAAGCGGGTAATGGAGGAAATGAGTGTGCCAACTAGAAAAATCAACCGAGCGTGACCGAAGGTTACCGAAGAGAAAACAGATGATGGTTCCAATGCCGGAGAGATTGTCGAACGGAAGAGCCATAGAAGTTCCGTAGTATGAAGGTATTTCGGCTATTTCAAGTCTGACAAAAAACAGAGTAGCGTGCACTGTAAATTGTGCCGAAAGCAAGTCTGGAAATACAATAAACTGGTGCATGCGTCACACTGTGCGCCACGTTATTGTTTCGGTGAAATGAATTTCTACCAAATTTGTGTAAAGTTGCAAATAGAAATTTCCAGTTAACTCTGTCAAATGCTTTTTCTGCGTCTAAAGAGAATATTGTAGTTTCTAGGTTTTTACTGTATGAGTAGTCTATCAAATTAAGTAATCTACGTGTATTTGTTGATTAGTGCCTACCTTTTATGAAACCAGTTTGGTCAGGATGAATTAAGAGGGGGGCTATTTTCTCCAGTCTCTTTAAGAGAGCTTTGCAGATTATTTTAAGGTCTACATTTATAAGGGATATTGGACGATAGCTTGAGGGATATACAGGGTCTTTGCCTGGTTTTAGCAGGAGATTAATGTTTGCAGAATTCATATTTGATGGAAGTCTGCCCTTTTCTTTAATTTCCAACAACGTTCTGTAGAAAACTGGTGCTAGAATCGACCAGAATTCTTTGTAGAATTCTGCAGGAAAGCCATCTGGACCTGGAGCCTTATTATTGTGCATACTTATCAGGGCTTCCTGGAGTTTACCTGGTGTCAGTGGTGAATCCAGTGCCATTGCTTGAGTGTCCAATAATTTTGGAAGAGTTATGTTGTCCAAAAACTGATCAATTTCTTTTTTAGATGGGTTTATTTGTGGTGAATACAACGTTTTATAGAAATCCCTGAAAATGTTGTTTTGGATCCTCTTTCATAAACTGGTTAAAAATATTATATAATTCCCCAACAGCTTGTGTTAGAACAAATGACCAGACATCCTCCAGCTTCTGTCTCTTGAGGGGCACCAGGCAGGGATGCCCACTCTCCCCTTCACTATTTGCAATTTTTATTGAACCACTAGCAGCAGCAATTAGACAGAATTCAGTAATTAAGGGCATAAAATGCAAGAACGTGGAACATAAAATCAGCCTTTATGCGGATGATGTGTTACTCTTTCTCCAAAATTCACAAACCAATATCTCTGGGGTGATTGAATTGATAAACTCTTTTGCAAGAATATCAGATTACTCAATTAACTGGTCAAAATCTACAGTCCTACCGATTAATTGCTCCTTCCATAATTCCTCTTCTACACCACTGCAATCGGGAAATATAAAATATTTAGGTATAAATGTTTCTCCCAAGCTTGCAGATCTAACTAAATTAAACCATATCCCACTTTTAAAGAAGGTAGAAGATGATCTGGCTAGATGGAAATGTCTACCCATATCACTCATGGGAAGGGTTGCCGCTATAAAAATGATGGTCTTACCAAAAATAAATTATTTATTCTCAATGATCCCAACTAAACCGCCACAAGATTGGTTCAGATCTCTAGATTCATGTATGTCCAAATTCCTTTGGAAAAATAAACCCCCACGTATAAGCTTAAAAACACTACAAAAGACCAAGGATAAAGGAGGACTAGAACTGCCTAACTTTCAGCACTACTTCTTAGCCAACAGTCTTCAGTTTATCTCAGGATGGCTAAAACACACCCTCTTAGATGAACCTTGGCTAGATGTAGAACAAGCACTCTGCAATAATCTAGAGATCTCAGACCTACCATTTATCAGCTCAAACATCCAACGACATGAATGCTTTAAAAGCATCAACATCAGCTCTTCTCTGACAGCATGGTGGGAGTTTCTAAAATTGACGGCGTCTTCATTAATCCCATGCAAACGTACACCTATCTGGAACAACCCTGACATATTACAAAACAATAATATGATAAACTTTTCAGATTGGAGTGATAAAGGAATCAAATATTTAGAACATATACTAGAGGGAACAGAATTTATTTCATTTGACGGACTAGTTACACAATATGGGATCAACAAGAAAAGATTTTTAGAATATCAACAAATTAAATCCATAGTAAAAAAGAAATTTAAACCGGGTCAAGTTGAACTACAAACACCACCAAGTGTGGTTCAATTTCTTACTCTTAAACCCCCCAAATTACTATCCAAAATATACAGAATGCTTTCTAAAACAGATGAATCAATATCACTTCCTATTGCAAAATGGGAAGCGGATTTATCAGTTAACTTAGACCTAAACTTCTGGTCTCAGATTTGCTTAAAAACCTTTCATCTAATTAGAAATCCCAGTCTTCAATTAATTCAATAC